CCAGCAGGTGGAGGCTGCGGTGGCCAGGAGCGGCCACTGCACTCCAGTCTGGGCGACAGACTGAGACTCCACCTCAAAAAAAAAAATGTCTTGAATCTTTGTGATTGTTTCCTTATAATAAGAATCAGGTAAAATGCACATACGTATTTTGTAAGTGTTCTGCACAGATGGTAATACTTTTCTTCTCATTGCAGGACATCACTTTGTCTCATCATTGGTTAAGGTGGTATCCTCTAGATTTCTACATTGTAAAGGTACTTGCTTTTCTCTCCGTAATTAAAATATAATCCTAGCAAGGCTTGGTGGCTCAGCCTGTAATCACAGCACTTTGGGAGGCTTAGGCGAGTAGACTGCCTGAGCCTGCGGGTACGAGTCCAGTCCGGGCAACTTGGTGAGACCTCATCTCTACAATAAATCAGAAATTAGCCAGGCGTGGTAGCGTGCACGCAAAAGGATCGCCGGAGCCCAGCAGTCGACGCTGGGGTGGCTGTCAGCATGCCACTGCATTCCAGCCTGGGCGACAGAGTGAGACTTCAACACACACACAAAAACAAATAAAATATAATCCTGAATGATATTTTGAGACTGTGTGACCATCTTATTCCCTCCTAAAATTTTACCCGATAGTTTTTATAGTTATTGATTATTCCAGTATGTCAATTTATTATATTTTAATTTCAAATTCAGAAGATTTTGAAATTAACAATCTTTTCTCATCTATAGGAATGCTTGTCCATTAAACCTTTGGTTACTTTCTTGAAGAAGAAAATCATTCAGCTTAGATTCATTTTTACCCTTTTTTTGAGTCGCGGTTTCATCCTGTCACCCAGGCTGGAGTGCAGTGGTACAATCATGGCTCACCACAGCCTCAACTGCCCAGGCTCAGGTGATCCTTCTGCCTCAGCCTCCTGAGTAACTGGAACTACAGGCACATGCCACCACACCAGGCTAATTTTTTTTTGTAGAGACTTAGTCACGCTATGTTACCCAAGCTGGTCTCGAGCTTCTGGTCTCAAGTAATCCTCCTGCCTCAGCCTCCCAAAATGCGGCGATTACAGGCATGAGCCACCATGCCTGGCCAAAACTTAGATTCAGTTAGGCTAATCTGTAATAGAACTACAAGCTTTGAATTCTTATTGTCCTCCAAGCTAAGAAGCAGAGGGCTAAACACTGGTGCCAGGCCAGTGAAACCTAGACCTGGCCAATCTGCAAGGTCTGGGAGGTATATCTGCATCTCACTGGGTTTGATCGCCAGAGAGGCGGACCTTGCCAAAGAGAGCTTACTTTATCCACTTCATTTGTTCATAGCTCAGTGGATTCCATGAAAGCCCTGGCAGACCTCTAAGAAGAGTCTAGCTGTCCCATCTGTCTCGAGTACTTGAAAAACCCAGTGATCATCAACTGTGGGCACAACTTCTGTTGCTCTCTTCAGTATATCCTGGAAGGATCTAGATGATACCTGTCCCTGTCCTGTCTGCCGTTTTTGCTTTCCATATAAGAAATTCAGGAGGAACCCTCAGCTCCATAACTTAACTGAAATGGCTAAGCTACTCCAGATCAGAAGGAGCAGGAGGAAGAGGCAGAAAGAGAGTGCTGTGTGTGAAAGCACAATCCGCTTCTGACCCTCTTCTGCTTGAAGGACCTAGAGATCTTATGTACATAGTGCAGTTTTTCCACTAAACACCAGAGCACGACATTTGCACCATTAAGAAAGCTGCTGGCAGGGGGGAGGGGAAGGGAGATGGGATTAACAGTAGTAAATAGCTGTCTGGGGACAGGGAGACACCTCTTATCAACAAGGGTGCCTGATCGAAGCATATTTGTATACCTAACCCTTAACTGTACCCCACAATATCAAAATAAAAAATATTAATTATTTTTTAAAAAAATATATATATATACACTTTCTTGGTTAAAATAAATAAATAAATAATCCAGCCGGTAGGTGGCGCTACTGAGCACCTGCTTTTCAGAACATGTCTCAAACTTTTTTTTTTTTTCCTCTCCCATTAGTGCTTGGCTGTCTTGCTAGAAAACAGAGTGTCGTTCTTTTCATGTGATTCCTCCTCGAAGTCTTGACTCTTAGCCACCGCACCATGCCTCCAGCAGGCTCTTTCTGAGTGGCAGCTCTTTCCCTGACTACTTGTGAATGACTCTAATTCTCTTTGGCTGGGTGACTCAGACTCTGGAATTCGACCTGTCTTAGAAAGCAAAGGATGAAAGATTCAGGTTCAAATCCTGCTCTGCCAGTTGCCAGCTGGAAGACTCTGGAGAATTGACTTAAATTATCCAGGCCTCAGCTTCATCAGCTGAAAACACAGGGATACTAACCCTATCTACCTCCCACATCATCTTGTTATGATGATTCAACTGTGATCACAAAAAAATGACAGACTCCTCGAATATGACACACTGTTGTAAAGTCATTACAATTCTGACAGTAAGTAGCCCAACGCAGCAGGCACTGCTGTTATGACCCCAGCTGTCCACCACTGGGGCCCAGGTACATGGGGGAGATTGCAGCTGAACCCCAGAAACTGGACTCTTGGCCACTGTACAATGTTGCCTCTCGGTTGCTATGGGACCTGACATGTGAGAACTCTTAAATGTTATTAGAAATGCCAGACTCAGTGGCTCATGCTTGTAATCTCAGCACTTTGGGAGGCAGAGGTGAGAGGATTGCCTGAGCCCAGGGGTTTGAGACCAGCCTGGGCAACTTGGTGAGACCTCGTCTCTACAACAAATCAGAAAATTAGCCAGGGGTGGTGACTCATGCCTCTAATCCCAGCACTTTAAGAGGTGGAGGCGAAGGCCAGGCTCGGTGGCTCAACCTTCTAATCCCAGCACTTTGAGAAGTCAAGGGAAGAGGATTGGCTGAGCTCAGGGGTTCAAGACCAGCCTGGACAACTTGGTGAGACCTCAGCTCTACAAAAAATAAATAAAATAAATAAATAAGGCTAAGGCAGAAGGATCACCTGAGCCCAGCAGATTGAGGTTGTGGTGGCCGTGAGTACACCACTGCACTCCAGCCTGGGTGACAGAGTGAGAATCCAACTCTTAAAAAAAAAAAAAGTGATGGAGAGAGGATTGCCTGAACCCAGGGATTTGAGACCAGCCTGGGCAACATGGTGAGAACTCGTCTCTACAAAAATAAAAAAATTAGCCAGGCATGGTGTTGTGTGCCTGTGGTTCCAGCTACTTGGGAGGCTGAGGCGGAAGGATTGCCTGAGCCTAACAGGTCAAGGCTGTGGTGGCCATGAGCGTGCCCCTGCACTCCAGCCTGGACAATAGAGTGAGACTCCAACTCAAAAACAAACAAACAAAAAACAGTTATCCAAAATGGTATCATTCATAACAGACATCTCCAGTCAAAGGTCACTTCTTAGAGGCAGAATTATATTCTCAGCTGTCCCCTGGACACACCCACCCACATGGGTCTGAGCTCCTCAAATGCCAAGATTCCGCTTCCAGTATACAGCTGAGAATATGTTATCCTTCCCCTGGCCTTACATCATGTTCTCCCCAACCACCCGATGGGGAAGCTCTGTTGCCCTGTCTGTCTCAGCGTTCTACCCATCTATCCAGTCAGTTCCACTTTCTGAAGATCCTGAATCCACCCCGTTCTCTGCCTCTGCGGTTACTGACCCAAGGAAGGTCTTCTCCATCTCTCCCCTCAATTGCTGCGTTCTCCTCACTGACATCCAACCTGTACCCTCTAAAGACTGGGGATGGGTTCTTTCTTGATGCACAATTCAATGCATTCGCTCAGGAAAAAGCATGTATTGGGCGTTTACAGCATGTGGGATAGAGGGTGAGTACACAGTAGGGAGTAGGCAGGTTCTGTCCCACCACCAGGGGGCTCAGTCAATGAAGAAGACAGCCATGAGGGGACAAAACCAGGAACAAAGACAACACTTCAACAGGATCGTTGCTGCAAAGGAGGAGAATGGGGACTGGGGTAAGAACAACTAGAGCAGGGTCACTGTCGAAGGGAGGTTGGGAGGTTGAAAGGAGGGATAGCTAGGGAAGGTCACGATGGACGGAGGTAGGGAAACTGAGAGGAGGGATAACGAGGGGAGGTCACTGCAATGGCGGTCGGGAGGCTGAGATGATCAATGTCTCAGGCGCGGTCACTGTTGATCAGGAGGCCGAGTGGGGGGCCTCTGAGAAATGACATGTAGTTTGACATCTGCAGGGAGAAAGGGACGAGAGAAACATGAATCGATCCTGCAATTGGATGTTTCATTCTGGCCACAGAAGATGTGAAAAGGGCCTTAGAAAAAGTTAGACGTGTTCAAGAGCGAGTGGACCCGGCATGGCTGGTGCCAGGAACACAGAGGGCGAGGCCGGAGAGACCCTTTGTGGTTGATGTCTTTCTTATATTCTAAGTGCAGCCGGAAGCCACTGGAGGGATTCATGTGAGGAAGGGTGGCATCACTCCTTCAAAATCCTCATCACGCTTCCCCTCCTCAGACCTGCCCAGGCTACCGTGGCCTTTTTACTGTGTCTTGCACAGGCCGTGCTTACTTATACCTCAGGGTCTTTGCACCTGCTCTTCTCTTTGCCTGGGATGCTTGCACCATGCCCAACTCTTGGCTTGCCTTGTGCCTTTGGGTCATAAAGAATTCTGTGCAAGTATGAGAAGCAGATATCAACTGATGGTCAGGATCGTTAATGAGTCTGCTTGGATCAAGTCATGGACGTTAATCACGGCTCACCCCAGCCTCAACTTTCTGGGCTCAGGTGATCCTTCCACCTCAGCCTCCCAAGTAACTGGGACAAGAAGAGCATACCAACCAGTCTGGCTAATTTTTTTTGGGTTTTTTTTGTAGAGATAAGTTCTTGCTATGTTGCCCCGGTCTCAAACTCCTGGATTCAAACCATTGTCTGGCCTTGGCCTCCCAGAGTGCTGGAATTATAGGCATGAGCCCTAACTCCCGGTCAAATCAAGAATATTAATAGTAAATATTTTGGAGATGGTTCAAGACGATTATTAAACTGCAAGATGAGCCTTCATAGCCTGACACCCACGTCTGGGACATTCAGGTGAGGACCATGTTATGCCTTGAGCATGTCATGTTCAGATGCTTGGAGAACTCTCTGTCCCCAACCATGGGGACCAGCATTCTACCACTGTCACCGTTTTGTTGACTCGAAGAAGAGAGGGATACTATGGCTTTAGAGTTAAACCACAGGCAGACGTGGGAGCAGTTTTCTCAGTCATCCAATGAAGATAAAACCCACTGCAAGGTCTTATTATACACGTGGCAAATACTAGAAAGCACCTTGCTTAGGAGGAAGCATACAAGTCAGATATTTAATTACTATCTACAGAGACTGAGGAGAGACTAATTTTACCACTTCCTCTAAATCCTTGACTGCCTATAGCTTCATATGTATATCCCTGCCTCACCAAAAAAGAAAAAAAAACAATATTTATACCCTAATTAGTTTATTAACCTCAAGCTTTCATTTCAACCCGTCTCCCCCAGTATTCAAATTCAATTAACATTTTTTTTTTTTGCCTAGGTGATAAGACCCAAACAAACAGAATATTGTAATGTCGAAAAGGCTCTGCTCTGGCCAGGTGTGGTGGCTCACACCTGTAATCCCAGCACTTTGGGAGGCCAAGGTGAGGGATTGCCTGAGTCCACGGGTTCAAGAACAGCCTGGGCAACTTGACGAGCCCTCATCACTACAATAAATCAAAAAATTAGCCAGGTGTGGTAGCACATGCCTGCAGTTCCAGCTACTTGGAAGACTGAGGTGGACGGATTGCCTGAGCCCAGCAGGTCGAGGCTGGGGTGGCTGTGAGCATGCCACTGCACTCTAGGCTGGGCGATGTAGTGAGACTCCAATTCAAAAATAAATAAATAAAAGGCCCGATTCTGCTTCCATATGATCCAGCAATCCCTCCTCTGGGCATATACCCAGAGGAACATAAATCGGTCTGCCAAGAAGACACTCACACGTGCATGCTCATTGCAGCGCTAGTCACAATAGCAGAAACAGGGAACCAACCCAGATGCCCATCCAAAGTGGACTGACTGGATGAATAAAATGGGATATGTATACAAGATGGACTATTACACAGCCATAAAGAAGAACAAAATCGTGACCTTTGCAGCCACATGGATGCAGCTAGAGACCATCGTGTGACGTGAACGATCACAGACAACAGAGAACTGAAGACCGCATTCTCACTCCTAAGCGAACCCTGATCACCGGTCACAGGAGCACAAGGGTGGGATTGGCAGATGCTGGATACTGCTAGGGGAAGGAGAGAGGGAGGGAGGGAAGGAACGGGGAGAGAGGGAGAAGGTACTGTACCTTGGTGGACCAGCCAGGAGGGAAAGAAGGAAAGAGGAAAGAGAGAGGAAAGAGGGAGAGAGGGAGGGAGGGTGCACGTGGCAACAGCCTGGGCACCAGGTACGCTATCTTGATAGACCAGCTAGAAGCCCAGGCTTCACCTGCATGCAGCTTACTTATGCTGTGACTCCTCACTTTTACCCCAGAACTCAAAATAAAATAAAAGGTCTGCTCGGGAGTCTGACTGCATGGGTTTGAATGTTTTGTCTCTCACTACCTTTGTGACCCCAACAAAGTTACTCTGTGCTTTGGGTCTCAGTTCTTCATCTGTACCCTGGAGGGGAGGATGGTCATCACCGCTGCCTCTGAATGTCAGTGTGAAGTAGTTAGTAGGTGCTGTGGTGAGTAG